AAGAAACGCTCGGCAGTGATCACTGTCTCCTCAGAATCACACTCTCCGGCAACATAGGCCGTAGAACATGGAGCCAAGCTAAGCTGACAGATTGGACAGCCTTCCGCTCACAGGTGATCCCCTCTGTGCCAGGGGCGGGAGGATATATGGGATGGGCAAAACAGCTCCTTGCAGCCAATTCCAAGTGTCTTAAAACTATAAAGACAACGGAAGACACCCCCGCCGTCGATAAGTACCTGCTCCACCTTTGGGAGGCCCGCAGAAGCTTAACTAAACGTTGGCGGAAAAACAAATTCAACCGCAAGCTTAAACTTAGAATAGCCAAGTTGAGTAAGCAAGCGGATGAATATGCTGCACAACTGAACGAATCCAACTGGATAGAACGGTGCAATGTTGTAGCTAAAGAAATGAATACAAAGAAAGCATGGCGCCTTTTTCGAACTCTCGTGGACCCCGCCCAAACCCGACGAGAAGCGCAAAAGCAGCTCCGTCGAGCCCTGCACAGTTTTCAGGGAACTAACTCCCAGCTGGCTGATGATTTGTGTGCTAGATACCTATGTCGCACCACGGATCCCAACAGGAACGCATATGAATACGCAGGTAGAGAAAACAGTCAGCTCGATGCCCCTTTTGAAATGTGCGATCTGAAAGCAGCACTGAAAAAAATGCGCAGGGGCACTGCCCCGGGCCGAGACCTGATCACGGTAAAACTGTTAGCAAATCTGTCAGACGATTCTTATCGGCATCTATTGCAATACATTAACGCGATCTGGGATGGCCAACCACTGCCAACTGAATGGAAAACAGCAGTTGTCACATTCATCCCCAAACCAGGCAAGCAAATCAGCACAGACAACCTCAGACCTATATCATTAACTTCATGTGTTGGCAAATTGATGGAAACAATGGTTAGAAACCGTCTCGCCACGTACCTCGAGAGCAAGGAGCATTTCGCAGATTCCATGTTTGGCTTTAGGCCCCACCTGTCTGCGCAAGATATCCTCTTGCAACTAAAACGAGACATTATCCAACCCATTCCCTCGACGCAAAACGACAGAGCAATCCTTGCACTCGACCTTAAAGGCGCATTCGACAACGTTAAACATGAAAGCATCCTGAAAAACTTGAGTAGTGTCCATTGCGGTAAGAAAGTATTTGCCTACATCAGAGACTTCCTCTCTGAAAGACTGGCGTTCATTCGCATAGATAACGAGGAACATGGACCATTCAAAATGGGGACGCGGGGAACCCCGCAAGGAGCTGTCCTGTCTCCGCTGCTATTCAACACTTGCCATGATGAAGCTCCCGCAAGCATTGGCAGTAGTGGAAGGAATATATAATGCAATATACGCCGATGATATAACAATCTGGACGAATCGGCGCAGTTTAGGAGAAATTGAAGACCGCCTGCAGCAGGCCGCCTCCATTGTAGAGGACTATGCGGCCCAGTGTGGGTTGCAGTGCGCTCCAACCAAATCTGAATTCCTGCATATCAGAGAAAACACTAAAGATAGGACGACCCTGAACTTGATGGTATCAGGATCAACAATATGAGAGGTTTCAGAACTACGAATCCTTGGCCTTCTGATTCACAACAGAACAAAAAACAGCACCACGCTAGACAAGCTACGGAAAATTGGAGAACAGGTAGGGCACATGATCCGCCGAGTGTCAAACAAGCGCGGGGGGCTCCGAGGAAGGGACGCGATTCGGCTCGCCAATGCTTTTGTAACTAGCAGGATTCTATATTCAGTACCGTACTTACGAATGACTGAACACGAAGAGAACAGAGTCGATGCTATTCTTAGGAAAGTAATTAAGCACGCACTTGATTTACCCATCAGCACTTCAAATCAGAAACTCTCTGCATTGGGAGTCTTTAACTCTATACAAGAGCTCCAAGAAGCCCACCTCACAAATCAATATACGCGTCTTACGCAGACGCCCCCCGGGTGGTGCCTACTGGACCGCCTCTTGATCCGGCACGAATGCGAAATCGAAAACGCGGAGCGTTTTACTGAACTTTGGAGAACAAAACTCTGGGTGTCCCCGCTTCCCCGCAATATGACCAGGGAGGCGCACCAGGGTAGAAGGCAAGCGCGCACTGAGGCACTTGAACAACGGCTTGGCTCCCGTGATGGGGTCTATTACGTCGATGTGGCCGGGCCGTCACCTAGGGGATACTACACGGCGGCGGTAATACATGAAGGAACGCAGGTGGACGGCCTCACTTTCAAAGCCACAAGCTCAAGTAAGGCGGAGGAGGTGGCCATTGCACTGGCAGTATCCCATCCAAACTCAAAACAAATAGTTACAGACTCTCGAAGAGCCTGCGAGAGCTATCTTGCAGGAGAAATCTCTCCATTGGCTAATAGACTTTTAAAATTCAGCATCAGGAACCGCGATCCTACCCCAAAACGTCTTATATGGACTCCGGGACATCAGGGTCTACAGGGTAACGAGGCTGCACATGCAGCGGCCCGCGTGCTTACTTCCCGGGAAACTCCCCGTTTTCTGATAGACCTGAACGTCCCACACCTCACGGTTTCGAGAAATCAAAGAATACTACATTGAGCAACGCCGCTTGTATCCCGCACCAGCGAAGGGACTCTCGAAAACGGAGGAGCGCATCCTGCGGCGCCTACAGACAAATACGCTGCTCTGTCCAGCCATACTAAAATATTATGACCCTAAAATAAGTGGGCAGTGCCAGTACTGTGGGGAAGTGGCCAACACTTACCATATGGTCTGGGCCTGCCAAATGAACCCAAATTAACCCCCTTTCCCAACCCCACCAAAGAGGACTGGGAGACGACCCTACTCAATGGCTCCACACTAGAGGAACAGCGAACTCTACTGCAGCGGGCTCGGGTGGCGGCCTCGACTAATGAGGTCCCGGACTAGGGATGTCAACCAGCCCGGTGGGGATAAGGGCTATCTGGCCCTTATCAATAAAGGTTTTTTCCTCCTCCTCCTCCGCATCAATAGACCTGCTGTGCAAGTACTACTTGCGCCAATAAACCCCGTTTCACAAGGGATGTACAGGGGAAGTTATTAGAACCAATGGAATGTAAATAAGAAGAAGAAAAAGTGGATGAAAAAATAACCAGCCGTGAGCAGGAATCGAACCTACGACCTTCGAATAACGCGTTCGATATATATATATATATATATATATATATATATATATATATATATATATATATATATATATATATATATATATATATATATATATATATATATTCGGCATATTAACTGCGGAAACCACCCATTTGACATGAGACGTCCCCCGCTACGCCACCAGTTGCCAAAGAGAGGGAAGACCACTCAATCCCTTTTTATCCGGTTCCCTCTTGGCTACGTGTCTCAATCACTTTCCACATACAGGGATTCGTGCTGGGGCCGGGAAGTAACGAGACGTACGATCTTTTCTTAAGCATGGACGCATTTAATTCAATAGCAAGTGCAAATTGCGTACACACATACTGTCCGTGAACGACGTCTCTGTTACACGAAATTGTAACACATCAGCAAATACTCGCGACACGCGAAACAGGATACATAAGCGAAGTAACGGTGACAATACAAGGGTGCCTCAATACAGAGTAAACACAGGACGACACAAATGATAAAGTCATTAATTAATAAAACCGCGCAATGTTTCAATATGCCGCATCCCTAACCGCAAAGCTCGTTTAAGTAATGGAGGTGAAGTTCGTCTCACAGAATGTCCATGTAGTCGGGGCCTCGGAGTTGGCTGCTCGAATCGGGGCCGATGGTTGTTTCTTGGCGTCGAGGTCTGATCTGTCCAATTCGTCAGCGTCTTCGCAATCGTCGCCTACGTCGAGCCTCTCCGTGATTTCCATCTTAGCCCTCTTTCGTAACGCTCCATTCACTCACCTCCTATCCCTAACTTTCATTCCTCATCGTACCGTCCTTGCCTCTCTACCATCTCGAGCTCATCGCATCGTATCCCCCGACTTGGGTGAAAAGTGGGTGAAAAGATAACTTGCCGTGGGCAGGATCCTGCCCACGGCAAGTTATCTTTTCACCCACTTTTCTTTCTTCTCATTTACAATACAATTGGCCTAATAACTTCCCCTATGCCTTCCTTAATTGGCATTATTGTCTGTTAGATCTTATTAATATTGTGTAAACACGAAAAGCGAGCCCTTAAGTATACACTTGTTTCCCTTATATATATAATTAGGGCAAAATAAGTATACGCCTCTAAAAAAACTGTTTATTGGTGACGTTTCGATCGGAGACCGATCTTCATCAGACAAAATTTAGTAGGCTCCGACGCGCTTTTATGCCATCGTCCAGCCGAGAGAGAGAAAAGAGAAAGAAAAAGAAAAATATACATATACCAGTGGCCCTACTACCCATCATGTACTAGCTGATAAGCAGCCAAACGGCCACGTGCGCGTACTACGCATAGCACGTGCATTTGAGGAAAAAAATACCGCACCTGGGCCAGTGGCAATGCCACCCATTACACTCTGATAAGTAGTCAAACGACCAAATGTGCATACTTCCAATGGCAGGTGCATTTTGTAAAAAAAAAAAAAAAAAGAGTGCTCAAACAACATACAATCAGGGCAAGTTTTTTGTCCAGGTGGCTAAATTAAGCAAATTCCAGTGATAAAAAGTTCTCAGATTCACCTCTCATCAGTTTTTCCTGTAGCTTGTAAAGAATACCGAAGTACGTTCCTTGCGATCATTGTCGCTGTCGAATTCCTCCTGTTCTCCCCTACCATAGTTGCTCTTGAAGCCTTGTGAGGAGGGCTATGTCAGAACGATGTGATAAATTAAAGAGAGAAAAAGAGAGAAGAACAACAAACAAGGGCTACGCGAGTCAAAGCTCCGCACGTCAAGGATAGGCACATGCCAGGCAGCTACAATCTCCGGTCTGTAGCTCAAGCATATTTTGAGAGTGTGTTTTGCCGTTGACGACATTGTTCTGCCTTCAATGTTCTGCCTTTTTTTTTTTGCAGTTCTTGGTTTTGCATATTCGACAACTATTCTATGAAGCGACCACGATTGTCTATTGAATTGCCCCAAAATCCTCCCGACCTGTGCGATGCAGCGGATGACCATCCGATCCGCCATGGCGGAACCTCTACGCCCTCCATGGACACTCTGGGTAGGGTGGCTAAAATGGGACACCCTACTCTGTGCGTCATAAGCGCTGCTACTGTTGACACACCCAGGTCTGCGAGTTTGTCGGCCCCGTATGAAGGAAATATCCTGGAATCAGCTTCCGCAACTGGAAAACCAAGCACTCATGGGCGTCTTGAACAAATTCGGCCGCGGCCCACTAACGGCAACAGTATGGCAATCAACCAACAGCTGGCTTTTCTACAATGCACAAATCACTAAGGTGTGTTGTGACACCAGCGTACATGCTATTGGCAAAAAGCTTCCACTCCCGCATACATCTCGAGACAGACTCGTCAGTTGCTTTTGCAGTGATGAAAGCGACATTTTGCTATTAGGAGCAAATTCTGGAGCAGAAAAAAATGGTGCTTTAGAGCAGCCCTTAAGTGTCTTCGGAGCAGTATTGGTGTTTTCAGAACAGATGTATGTTCCTAACGGTTCCTGAAGTTTAAAACATCACTTAAGCATCTAATAAATCTTTTTATGTTTATTATTAAACATGTCGTATGCTATTATGCAACTAGTATACAAACAGTATAGTTGGCATGAGTCATGGGCGGGGGGAGGTGGGCCAAGAGAATTTGGACTTTTCTGGTATTCATGCTGTGGAGGACACTTTATGCAAGTGTCCCACTTAAAATTTTGCTTTAGCACGTGATATAATTGAGTTAACAGATAAGTATAGCCCAATCAACTTTTTAAAAGGCTTTTTATCTGTTACTGCGCACCTGTGGTAAATATCCCTCACCTGTAGGAACTATGGAAATAGAAAAAAAAGGCGAAAAAAAGAGACTGAATAGAACAATGCAATTGCTCGAACTTGGAACCATCTCCTTTTCTAATGTTATTTGAAAGCATGATTTATTTCATCTATTAATAAAAATTACAACTCATATTAAAAATATGAATTGGACACAGTGGCCTGATATGCATCACCCTTTGATATTTTTTTGGATTTACGCCGCTGAGTAGCATACTAGGACGATAATGTATACAGCTTGCTTTTGGTTTCGCTCATGCTCACAGAATGGTCCCATGGTTCCACTTCCATTCTCTTAAGTTTGCCAAAGCCATTTTGGAGCAGGTTTGGAGCAGTTACTAGCAAATATTGCACTTTGAAGCAGCATTACTCTTTTGGAACAGTTTGGAGCAATTGGAGCAGCACTTCCATCACTGCTTTTGTCGAAACTGGCTTTCAGAACTGGAAAAAACCATTGCAGAGGTTTAAAAGCCATGAAAATTGGGCATTGCATCGCGCAGCTTCCCAACTCTGACAGCTTTAAACGTGGTGCTGAATGTAGCATCTGTTCTCTCAGAGTCTAAGCAAAACCAAATGAAGGAGAGCCGTAAAGCTCTGATGGCTATACTGTCTATTCCCTTTTTGGCTTGCCAAGGTCTGGTGCTGCGAGGACACGATGATGACGACGGGAACTTGAAGCAACTGTTACTGCTGTGCGAAGCTGATGTGCCGGGACTAGCAGACTGGCTAAATAGAACAGGCTATAAATGATCTCCGGTGACATCCAGAACGAGATGCTCGAATTAATAACACACAGCATACTTCACTCCCTTATGAAAGAAGTGTACAAGGCAGGGCTTTATGCAGTTATTGCTGATGAAACTTCGGGCATAACTACGCAAGAGCAAGTACCCTTCCGCTTTTGGTATGCTAAGGAAAACTTATAAGTGGAGGAGGTATTCGTTGCATTTTATGCAACTGCGGGCACCACAGCTCGTACTTTCTTTTCTATTTTGAAAGGTGTGCTTTGTCAATTCAATCTTCGGATTGAGCAGTGCGGTGGGCAGTGTTATGATGGGGTTGCAAATGTTTCTGGCAAGAGCGGTGGGCTTCAGGCCCTTGTTGAAGAGGTAAAACCAAGAGCTTTGTATTTGCACTGCCTTGCACATACACTGAGCCTGTCTTTGCAAAATTAGTGCACGAAAATTGACACCACATTGAATTTTGTTCGCTTGTTTACGGACCTCGCCAATTTCTTTTGCTAGAATTTCCCCAAACGTCTCAGCTGTTTCCAGCAGTTTCAGAAAAAGAAAAATCCTGTACTCAGGCAGTTTTGCAAAACTAGGTGGACGTTAAAGGCGCACCCTCTCTGATTGGTTTCACTAACTGCTCAAACTAACCAGATTACTTTTTACTCTTTCTTCAGAAGAGAAAAAGGACACGGGTGCCAAAGTGAGCGGTGAAAGGACGTTAAAGGCGCACCCTCTCTGATTGGTTTCACTAACTGCTCAAACTAACCAGATTACTTTTTACTCTTTCCTCAGAAGAGAAAAAGGACACGGGTGCCAAAGTGAGCGGTGAAGCAAAAACGCTTCAAAGTTCAAACGTGCAACGAGTCTTGTCAAGATGCAGCCAACTTTAAGAAAAAGCAGGTGAACCCCTGAGGGTGCTGCTTCCAGAAGTTGTCAAGCTTCTACAAATCGCCATGGCGATTCCTGTGACTTTCTGTTCGTCAGAATCGTTCTCACGTCTTCAGACAATTAAAACCTACCTGCGCTTAACAATGGAACAGGCCAGACCGCCCTGCTCCACTGACACAAAGAGAGGGATAGGCAAGTGGATTTGATTCTTTTGGCCAATGAGTTCATTCATCGAATGGTAGTTAGAAAAAATATGTTTCTTGTTGAAATGTAAAACTACCGTTTTCTAGAATATGCTCTAAAATATCATCTGTTGCCTAACATCGTTACTTTTTCAGCCTTGTGTATCTGTTACTTATTTGTATAGGATAACTGGTATATGGAAAAGCTTTAATCATCTTATTATGTATACAAAATTAGAAGTACATCGAAGAACTGTAATAATTTTCTTATTTCTGTGTTCTCGAAGTGTATAAAACCACTGTGAAGTCTGAAGTGTAAAATGGTCTTAGATTGCTGGCCCCTGTTCTCTGTTGTAGGAGACAAATTCAACTGTTTATATGTATAAAAAATGTAATTTAAGTCTTTTTTTCCACAGTATTATTTGACATATAATTCGTAGGAATACCTTGTTGAATATTTCTGCAAAAGCCTGAAATTCTTTGCTGATATTATGCACGCGTTGGCATTGATAAGACATGTTCATAGTTTCCTTTTCTTTGTGAGTGATTTTGTCAGTGGTTGCATTAGGAAATTGTAAAAAAAGAAAAACAGCACTGTCCGATGAAATGAGCAATCAGATACGTCATGAGTGCTTGTATGTTCACTCTTTACTTGATCTAAGTGCAAGCGTTTTGTAGCTGTTGCATTGATAATTGCCGAACGTGTTTTTTACGTACGCTTGTTCATTATAAAAGTATCATGCAAAAATGAAAAAAATTACAAATTGATTACACAGCCATGATTTGTTCGTGTACACTCTTTCAAAATGAACACTTCTGGCACACCTGCATATCCAGTCCAGAAGTTTTGTAGTATATGTATAGGGTATTTCAAAATACATTTTACTTGCTAAAATGGCCAGCAAACTTTGGCTCCTTAGCACAACAAGTAGGAATATTTCTTAAACACCGCTTGCTCCTAAATGCAACAGAATTTTACCTCCGAACTGCTCATCAAAGAAAAACAAAACTGGCTTTTTTTTTGTGCTGATGGTACAGTCATGTAATATTTTTTTGGAAAAAACGCGACCAGCGAAACACGTATTCAAAGAAATTTCTACTGGATGAGTCAAACAGCAGAAGTTCACTGTTCATAGATTCGCGGGACGTCTTATTTGGGGACACCCCGCAGTTAACTACACAATGTAAAAGGCCTTCACTGGTGCAGGTGCCCCTTATGATTATGGTGATTACTGGCACCCCCTGTGTAGCGGGATGATCACATGTCATCAAATAGAGACCCCCCGCCGCTGCTTCTGCCCCCCCCCCCCCCTGGAAAAATAAGAAAAGCCGACGAGAAGCATACTTGTCACACTTTAAGGTGTCGCATAAAATGACAAGGCAGCAACACGGACAGTAAGCTCTCGGTAACAGAAATCTCTCCAACGAAGCTGGTCCTAATATATGAATGATTTCATACTTGAATGATGCACGAGAGAGAGCTCTTTAGTGAAAAGCAGAAAATTCAGCCGGCGTGTGTATATCGCCGACTTGCTATTGCTCTACGTGGGGAAGGGGATTGGGCACTGTATGCCGACAGAGTGACTTATTAGAGTTTTCAAGGTGCCACTACAGTTTGTCTAGCTGACCATGACATTATCTAAATACGTGAATAAACGTTTCATCACATGCTCCTGTTGTGTTAAGTTGGAGAAAGGGTCTTTATGTACTGGAACTCCTTTAAAATGAAACACATTATCCTGGTCCCTTCAGGTTCACTTTCACGAAAGCCTACCGCATAATGCCATGGTCGTTTCTTATTTTCACTCTTGTTTCATTTGGTTTTCTCCCACAAAGCCTGTCAGAAATGCTCAGCACAAAGTGTGCCTCATTGTTCAAGAAGGATCGAGATCATTGTAGATTGTTCTATTAAGATTGCGAACAACACGCGAACACAAAATATTATTCCAGAGCTTGCACAACGACAAGAGATAAGGCTCGAATATTTGACAAAACAAGTACTAATGCTGACAAGCTTCACCGTTTTGTCAGTTGATTGACGGCCAACGCTCTGTTCGCTGCTATCAGAGCCGCCGGTGTAAATCAGTGTAATCCGACGTTCAGTTTACTGGTCACAAGTTCGGTCAAATAAACAGTTTCATCTTCTACCTGCAGCCTGCACCCTTCGCTCACGTCAAGGCCCCGTGACAATATATAAAAATAGCAGACTGAACATTGTGCAGAAATTTCACAAAGCAAGCTTCATTATTAATGAAGCATGTATCCCCAACATGAAACTGAGTTTTGAAGTATTTTGCCGAATTTGTTCATCAGACATACCTTAGCCACATTGTGAACAAAACCAAAAGATGTAACCGAGAAAAGCATTTATTTCCATAAAAGAAGTCGCCCTGTGGTTCCTTCAGGGCCACTGGCATTTTCCTCCCAGGGAGGGGTGTATCTACACTGTGGATCGGAGGCCGCACTGCTCACTGGGGCCCCAGGCATCATGGTCACCTGCATCAGCAATCACTGTTGTAGTCACAGTCAGTTCCTGTTCGATACGTACAACAGGCTCACAACGCGAAACAACACATGAGCACTGTCAACAGTGTGTCCTTCACAGACTCTCCAGCCCAGCGCCAATTGCATCAAATTCTCAACACGCAAGAGCCTGCAGCAATATGAGCTTTGTGGCTCACGTTAGTGCACCATTCCCAGACAGAACAATTTTCAGCTGCTGTCTTGTGTCAAACGAAAATATCAAAAGCCTAGAAAACTTAAGTAAAGGTGAGTGCACTCTGGAAAAGTACTGATTTACATGATCGTTGGTCAACTCATTTTGACTCAACTTTAAATCCGAATCGAGGAAGGGGGCGTTGACCTAGAATCGGAAACTAGTTTCGGTTGTAAAGTCTTGCCGAAAATATTTCTCACACATTCTTGCAAAGCTACCTTGGCACACCGGACTTCAATTCCTTCAAACACTTGGTAAATAAATTTTCTTTAATGAAATGTGCTTGTGCGATATCACGAAGGTCGACCAACAATCGAGTCTACTTACAATCGTGCAAGTACAGTAACTACAATACATTTTTAAAAGCTGGTATTATCTTCTTGTCACGTGCTTAAACAAGATATTGGGTCATTTCCACGGCTGCCTAGCTCCGTCGCTACGTGCATAAGCGGCCCTTCTGAATGTTTCAATACCAGACTTCATCCCTACTAGCGCAGCATGTAGGAACAAAACCAAAAACCCCCCCAAAAAATTATTTGACGCAGCAAAAATGCAACCGAAACGGTATCTATTATTATATTTTAGAGTGAAACTAAAAAATTTTTTAATTGGTTAATGGCCAAAAGAAAAAATAGGCAATATAGAACAACCATGATCATGCAACGTCAGCATTAATGCATACCTCAAGAGACATAGGCACACCTCAAGACGCATAGTATCAGGGGGACAAAAACTTTGAAAAGAGTGAACAAAGCAGTAACAGGTGTTGTATGCACATATTAAGGGGGTACGTGGGTTCTAAAATTTTTTAAAAATTTTTTGCTCAATCTTGACTAAACTTCACCAGCTAAGGTAGTTTTTCATGCTGATTTCAAATCTCTAATTTGTTTCTTAATATTCCAAGTGGTTTAGAAAATATGAAGGTCTGAATCTTAATTGATTGTGTACTTCTTACGGGACTTCTTGGCAATTTATTCTTGCAAAATCCCAAAAAGTGAATGCATAATCCCAATGCTAGAGGCTTGCTGTAGGGTGTGATGCTATTTCTATCCATTTGAAGGCATTTCATAAGCAAGAAAATGGACGAACACTTATACTTATGGTCACTATATTACAATAAATTTCTCTCACTAAAATCTTCAATGGTAATTTTTGAAGTGATGCTAGATAAATAGGAATAACATCACCCCCTAGATCATGTCAAGACGAATAAAATGATACCAACTTTGTCGCATTCACTCAAGTTTAACATAGGAAAAACCCCCGTAAGGCCGAGTGCAATGTGCAAAAACATCAAACTGAGAAAAACGCATTTGAAATTTTTAGCAACTTTAACTTTTGCTAAAGTGAAGCTACAGCTATAATAATGACATCATTCTGTAGCTCTATATTATAGGATAAATGGCCATGCTAAATTTCACTATGCTAATACTGCTCACAGCTTGTTCTAGAACTATAAGATAGTCATTGACTCAGCATGAGAATCATCATTTTTTTTACTTTGTGGTCGTTCCTGTGCCTTGCAAGTGAAAGGAACACAAAAAATCATATAATAATGTTGTCCTTGGATAGATAATAGATTTACAGAATGTTTAGGTCTAAAACCAAGAATATTTATTTTTGCTAAAATTCTCACTATTTGCCATCATGGCAGTTTACAGCAGACCAGGGCTGTAAGCAGAGTCACCTGCTGGCTTGTGACGCTTTGAAAGTCTTTCCTTTATTGAACTGCTGTCAAGATGCTCTCTTCGCGATTTTTGCAGCCTGCCCTTGTCCTTCTCAAGGCTGCGACACACCAAGTTATTGCCAGCGGTGTAGCCCAGCTTCTCTGCAATTTCCACGTTGCTCTTGGTTGTGCCTTATTTGAAGCGGCTGATGGCTTCGGCAACTGCCCTTTCAGTGCTCCGCAAGGATGCATGCTGAGTTTTGGGGGCCTGCTGCCAAATCATAGCGTGCAGGCTCTCACTTGGGTTCTGGGTGATCCCATCGCTGCAACTTTCCAAGAGGGCATTGTCGCTCAGCCGCCTAAACACAGGCTCCAATGCCTCAGTTACGAAATCAGGCAGGCTGTCCTTGTGTGGTGGCGGCTTCTCATTTTTCGCAAGAGCTCTCTGAAATTTGCACCAGGATTCAGGGCCTTCAGGGCAAAGGTCATGCTTTGGTGCCTCGTCAGTTGAAGACATGCGGTTCAAAGTTGCTAGAACAGCCTTCTGCATACCTGGAACATCGTTCCTGTGGCTTCTCAATGCGTAGCCTTAGTATAAGGTGATCTTCTTTATCTTTTGTTGCGTAAGTCTGCCCTTTCCACCAAGTGAGCCACCTTGAGCTTTTTTTTTTTTTTTTTTTTTCCTCTACAAGGGTACGTAAGGCAGCTCCCATACGCTTGTGTACATGATTTATGCAGTCCTTTTTGGCCACCTTTATGAAGCCGTACACCTCTTTTTCTGTGAGTGCATGGAATGTCCTGCTGTCGCCGTCCGACACCATTGCGGTATAACGAAGCTTGTGCTTTTCAAGCGACCGCTCAAACAAGCATAGTGCTGCCTCCACTTCCATCTGGCCAGCATTACAATCAACAATCTTCTGGCACAGAGGGACATGCTGAATGAGCTAGGCAGAATGTCTTGCTTCTCCTTCCTTGGGTCCTGTGGTGCAAGCCAGGCAAAAGTTCGATAGCACGATATGGTCTATCACGAGGCCACTATACATCTCCACAATGCAGCCAACACATATATGCGAGCTAGGTCCACGCGTAAGCCAGGTGCCGTCATAAATGACGACGTTTCCGGGCGCGGTGCCGAACTCCGCATAGAGCTCCTTGACGCGAGCCACGCTCGCCGCTTCGCATTCGGCGGCAGTCGCACAGCAGGCTTCTTTCATTATATTCATATGACTCTGGTAACTCTTGTGGTGAAGCCCTCGATGCGAAATATTCATCCCGGCGAAGAAGTCCGACAGAGCCGTTGCCCCCTTGCCAATATTGTTGATGGCCTTCATGGCACGCATATTAACTTCAAACGGCCTTATTTTGGCATCGGTCTCGTCGGCTATACGTGGGGACGAAAAACGCTCTTCGCGAAAGTCACAACTGCCGCACGTGACTATGAGCTTCGAACACAGCCAATACTCTTTCTTGGCCTTTGAAATACTGAAGCTTCTTTCACCACATTCTGGGCACGCGACAAGTCCAAATAACGAGCGTATCGCCGCCAGATCAACAATAACAAATTCTGTCCCGTTTTCTTTGCCACCATCCTCCAGATCAATATCTAGTAACTTGCACTTACGTTCCGTCGCGCACTGCGATGCGAGTGATGCCTTCAAGCCTGCTGCATTTCTCGTGCACTCAGCAAACTCGTTCGCCGAATAAAACGCCGCGTCAATGCGGTATAGGATGCTGCTGGAAGTGCAAGATGACGATCCGACGACGACACAATCCGATGAGATGCTGCTGCAAGGCACAGGAGAGTGCACCGCTTCGGACACAAGCGGCCGCGGCTGGGCGCTGTCGTCGGAATGCGCCACTTCGGCGGCATCGGGCGAAATAGGCTGCACGTTGTCGGCTGCTTTCTTCTGGCGGGTGTTCCATGAGCGCCTCCGTTTCTTGCCATACGCTTGGCGTGTCTTCTTTTTTAGACGAGCGTCTCCAACCATGCCGGCAAAAGACGGAAAGTCGGTGCGTCGGTCGCGTAGCACAAGCAGGCACGTGCGGGAAGCAGACGAACAACGTGCGCGAACAGGAACGGGCGGCCGACGAACAATATACAAAAAAAAAGCGCAGGCAACTCTGACCGCATCAGCCAATGGGAAGCGAGGAACAGGGGGCTCGCCTGGGACGCGCGCGCTTCGGCCAATCAGCGGCCTGGAAGGGGGCTCCGCAAAAGGGGCGAGGGCAGCCGTTCTGTTTAAGCGACGCCATTTTGAAGGGTGGCAAAATGTGCACAAAGGAATCGGCTTCAAAAAAAGCCCAAGATGACGGCGATTGGCCGACTGCCTCGCCGGCGGCGCGCGCGGGAAGTTTGAACGAATTTGACCTGCCGTGGGTTGTTTTGCGGCTCCCGTGGCGACTTCATAATCAATTTTAATCCATTTACTGATCGAATTCAGCGTTCACAATTTGCGGACACGTGCTTATAGGTCTAAAAATTTCAAATATGGCATTTTCTCAAAATGGACTTTTTGGCCATTTTTCACCATTCTAAGACCCGCGTCCCCCCTTAAGAGGAGACGCGGGTCTTGAAATGGCAAAAAATTGCAAAAAAAAGGTGAATTTTTAAAAAAGTGCAGTATCGCGATGTTCATACATTTAATAATCTTCTGGCCAAATCTGAAAGCTGTATTCAATCTAGAAATATTAAAAAAAAAACAGCATTTTACATGCCTAGGTGGAAGCGAAATGACCGAAAATTGACTAACTATGTTCGAAGTTCGCGCACTCGTAACTTCCGAACGCGGCGACCGGGTGCCGCCATCTTAGTGTTGTTTTGAAGCTGCTTTCTTTGCGCATTTTTTCCCTATCTTCAAAATGGCGCCGGTGCAGAGAGACGGTTCCACTCCTTTTCCGAAGGTTGCTTGCACGCACGTGATTGGTCAAAGCACGCGCTCGCGCCGCGCGCTGGTCTGTTATTGGTTTGCCGCGTTTGTCCTGCTTTTTTTTTTTTTATTGCCCGGTCTCCCGTTGTTATCGCGCACGCGCTCAGCTCGGGCTTTCGGCTGCTCCGGGACGTTCTTCTGGTTCGCAACTTTACAATCATGTTTGAACTACTGTGATAATTAAGCTGCTCAAATGTATAAA